TGGTGGTAGGGCTAGCATAGGGCGTTTGGCCACACCCCTCTCAGCCTTTCCCACCCAATGGCAACCGCCCGTCTTCAGCTATCGTGCCCACTGCATTTAAGTCGTTTCAAAAATATGCGGTGGTTTCAGACGTACCTCATGAGCTGGTTCTATGACCGACTTAACCAGCGCTGATTCATTGGCGTTCAGGCCAGGAAGAGCTTCGACAGTTGTCTGGAATAAGCCATGAACTTCATGAACGGGTTATAAATTTTTGCATTTGGACACTCACCCTTTTGCCATTTGGCGTGAGCACTAGTAATTCATGGAACCCTGAATCTTCTACAGTGAAAGACACGTCGTCGGGGGGATTCATCGCAGTGAAGGTGGCGTCGAGCAGATCCGACGAAGCCAGGCTAGGCACTTGGGAGAAGACGCGTAGACGTGAAGGGAATGAGGCCACAGAACGAGCACAAACATGCTGCTGGCAGTCTAGATGAAGCTTAGCAGGCGGCAGAAGTGAAGGTGATAGACCAGCTAGCCGGAACCATGTTGTTAAATCTGGAACCAATCGAAAATTAAAAAAAAAACCGACACCATGTTGTTAAGCATGTGTCCCATCAAAAGCCGCATCTAAGAGTGACAATGCGAGACGCGCGCAGTTGCGAAGCAGCAAAAGAGGCGACTGCGCGCGAGCTGAACCTCTGCATCTCTTAGCCGCTCCGCAACCGCGCGCGTCTCAAAACGTATTTCACAGATGTGACAAAATGAATGATGGAAAAATAGTTGGTTAGTGAACACCTGAACAGCATTTTATTTCAGCCTACCTGTTGGAATCAGTGGAGCTGTATCCATCGCTTCCAAGGCGAATGGATCCACAGACCGGACGATATCGTCGAAGCGAACTCGTCCAATTTGGGCCGGACTGAAGGACATGTAGCGTCCAATCAAAGTATCGTATGGTCGAGCATGCGGCATTATCACCACTGACAATTGCGGAATGTCCACACCTGAAAAGTGACAAGGTTGAGGGATAGGTTGATCGCAGTCCAGCCAGTGAAATACTCACCACACGGAGCCCAGTGGAGTTCCGAAATTGCTGCCTGAGTGTCAGCCCAGCTGAGCCGAGCCGAGTGGGATCGCGGTGATCTCCTGTTTCGATATACCAGACTCCGCTCAGGAGATACCTTTAAACATCATGCAAAAACTAAATCATCATCATCATTTCATCATCATCATCATCATCATCATCATCATCATCATCATCATCATCATCATCATCATCATCATCATCATCATCATCATCATCATCATCATCATCATCATCATCATCATCATCATCATCATCATCATCATCATCATCATCATCATCATCATCATCATCATCATCATCATCATCATCATCATCATCATCATCACCATGGTACAGGGAGGCGGACAAGGATGCACCAATGAGGAGCGCACAGCAACTGTGAATCCCCGCCCCTGCCACTATTGCGGAATGTGATCTCAATGCTTTCATTTGACTTCTATTCCCTCAGCGCTACCGAATGAAAAAGATCTACTGGGGGACCTTATAAACAGTGCCATTTTCTAGAAAAACCTAATCAGATGCGAAATTTCTGTCAAAACGGGCCGTAGAGCCTAACATAGGTTTTCTGCTTTCCTAGACAAGTTTTCCGAGAACTCACCTCAGACTGCCATCGTCATCGACTGCGAGTGCATATCTGAATCCATCACGGCTCATCGCAAACGGGACCCCTTCTTCCGTGTAGAAAATCGCCGTCGCCGACGAATCAGACGACGACTGGAAGTGTGACACACGACGAGGTAAATGCGGTAACGCGTAGAATAGTGAGTACAGCGTCTGAAAAATGAACAATGATTTCGGGCGCGCTAGTAACTCTGCGGGGGCCGCCGACAGGGCCCACACCTTCGTTACTCGTCTTTGGCAAGAGCTCTGAATTTTCGCCAAACTCATGCCAAATAAAATCTTTGCCAACTTCAGATTAATGAACTATGTTGTAAAATCCTAATGAATGGCAGAATTATGAGGAGGGTCGAAAGCGTCTCATGCCAAGCTTAGGCCAAATCGACCAGCTGTCATGACGTTGCATTTCTCCATTTTTTTTTTAATCTTGCATCAATCATGTTGACAAGCTGCTCACAGAGTTTTCGCCAACGCTTGCCTGGCAGGTGATAACAAGACCAACACGGTGTTGACAAGGTCGTCCGGTATTCACATGTCCGCAGTTTATAGGATTTGGTATGCTGACAAGCGCTTACAGGTGTGCCCTGGAGGCTTACTGAAGCTAACCGCAGCGCAGCCGTGCGCGGCAGTGACTGTGAACCCCGACACGTCTCACATTGGGGAAAAAAAGATAAAGCCTTCCCATATAAGAATAAATTAAAGAGTAGTATTTGCTGGACTGATCACTCACCGCTCCATTAACAATCGATATGAGCCGGTTTTGATAATCATAGTCGAATTTCATATCAATCGATGGACCTCGTGCTCCAATCAATCTTCCATAACCATCCAGTTCAAACGTTACATCACCTGAAAGCAAACTTTTATTCAGGGACCATATTATTCATTCTGAGCCCTGAATACTTGGAC